GCTTGATATTCCCAAGTATTGGGGAGCCAGTATGTTGCCGTTACCAAGAGCATTTTGTCGGGTAGCGAGAATCTTCTTCAAGTATTGAGTGGGGCGGCAATACACCGTACATCAGGGAATGTAGCTCCCTGGCGGCAGCTGTAAGTGCCTAGCTCGGGTGGTACACCCAACATCGGGAAACGTAGTTTCCTGGGTGTAGCCCTTGGGACGTTGTCAATGCGATGTTCGAGTAGTGGCACCTGATAACTGGAAGCGTAGCTTCCAGGACGTCCATAGGCGCCGTGGTAGGGTGGAAACACCGCTGTACTCGGGAAGTTGGTTACCGATGTATTCCGGCGTGTAAATTAGTGGTTACGCATCATTAAGTCCTAGTTGCAGAACAATAATGAGGATGGGGTAGGTGCACCTCCTCGCTCGCGTGTCACAAGCCAATTGGTTTTTGGGTGACCCAATTCGGGTCGTTGGTTAACAGCACTAAGGGTGTCATGTTTTTCTTCGAGACCCGTTAAGTAACAGATCTTGAATTTTCGTGGGCGTCATTAGTGGAAAAAGCGAGGTCATTGTCTTGAAGCCTTGAGGCCAATATAACAGCATCTCGGGTTGGGAACTACTGTGGGCGAGTAACGAACGTGTGAGCAGCTATGGGCAGTTGCGCATATTACTCTTCGAGCTGGTAACGTGTAGAACGAGTGAACGTCCGCGTCCTAATGAATAGGGGCGGTAGGACAAAGTCCGACCAGCGGGGGCACGTCATAAAACTCTTTTTCTAGATTCTAGGAGCTCGTACTTTGGTTACAGCCATGGGCCAACCAGTTTTCCGGTTTCCCACAAAGGGGCACACATCCCACTGAAATAAGGTACTTCAAGCTTGTCCGGACATTGGGAGATTTACGTAACACCGAGTGTCAGAGGTTTTAGGGTCATACTGGTGACCCTCCCAAATACCCCCTGACTCTAGTAGGGGCAGTGTCAATAGTGAACAAGTCACTACCTCTTACACCTGCTGCGAGGGTGAGCTAGGCCGAGTACTCGATCCGAGTGTTAGATCACTAGCTTGCACCAGCTTGGGTGACGGTACGTCGGGTTTTGGCCCTGTGGGCCCCATGGTTCCCGTGGCTTGTTTCCCCATGCATTTCTCAGAAAGCGTCTCCTCAGAGATCGTGGGGACGTGGCCTAGCCTTAACTGACGACACCGCTTGGAGAGATTTTTGAAATTAAATTGGCCGTGCGCGTGCCTTGCCTATAAAAACAGAAGAAACAGAAGATAGGTAGTAAGACTGTGCTATAGCTTTTGCACACTCACCTTGCTTGCTGCGGAACAAGTATTCGAGCAGTCATTGTTGATGATGTAAGCGAAGGCGGCGTGTCGACGTGGATGGTGGCGGCGTGACCGACTCGAGGTAGCCCCCAAGGGAGTACCCGATGGTCATTGCCGACGAAGTGCCCGAAGGCAGCATGTCATCGTAACTAGAGGCAATGCGACGACATAGCCAGCGATGGCGTGACCGGCTCGAGGTAGCCCCCGAGGGAGTACCCGAGGGTCATTGCCGACGGAGTGTCCGGAGGTGGCGTGTTGACATAGCTGGTGGCAGCGTGATGACGTAGCCAGAGGCGGTGTGACCGGCTCGGGGTAGCCCCCGAAGGGGTACCTGAGGGTCGTTGCCGACGGAGCGCCGAAAGGCGGCGTGTCGACATAGCTGGTGGCAGCGTGACGACGTAGCCTTTGTTATTGTACGCCTTAAAACATGAAGACGAGAATAGTGAATATTTATTCGGTAGTTGAACAAGATAAACTCGTAGTAAAACATTTGTTAATTTTCCTTTATGAGCTATATTCATTGTGTTGTGCACTTTGTTGACTAGACCGTAGCCCCCGTGCTAACCGTCGAGATGCGGCACATGTAGCATTGGTTTTGCCGCGTAGGTCGTCGCTGCCAACAAAGCACATTGCATTGAACATGTGTCATAAAAGTACTTAAAGCAGTTTTAAGGGTTGTTGCCTTCTTTCCTTGATGTAGTTTTCCCTTTATGAAATGCTCGGCGTGTTATGCACTTTGTTAACTAGACCGTAGCCCCCGTGCGTATGATGTTAGCCATGAGGTGGTGTGACTCGTATAGCGTTGGGTTGCGGCGTAAGTCATTGTCGTGACAAAGCTTGACACATAGAACATATCATGTAGGTACTTAAATCGCGGAGAAAAAAGTAAACATGCCCTAGAGTGTGATTATTATGTATAGCAGCCCCCGACTTTCTGCTAAGTTTGAGGTAACTTAGTAGAAAGTAAGAGAAAAATATAACATACTAAAAACAATTATGGAAACGACTTAGCTGAACCAACGGGACGTTGGTGTCATTGTTGTCGATGGTGATGACGTTGATGTCGAGTGCTACGACGAGCGCCGCGTCGAGGGACGGCAAGAGGTCGAGAGAGATCGACTCGAGGAAACCTGTCGACGGTGTGCTCAAGTGGTAACTGTCGATGAAGTTGTTGAAGACGACGTGACTAGCCCGAAGTAGTCCGTCGACGGTGTGCCCGAATTGCCGGTGACGTCGTCGTGCATCCAGCTCGATGATGTGGATGATGTGTTGATGATGCTAGCCGCGGCATGTTAATGACGAGGGCCGTCACGGGGCGACGTTGAGAACCAGAGCATGATGACGACGACTCATCGACAAAGGATATCGACGAGGGCCGCCGTCGGGTTCCTGCCGATGGTTAGTCACAGAGACACATGTACATATTTGAAAATATGCATATATTGTAGAATTTTTAATTTGAAGCAAAAAGGCATGGCTTAGCTTGTTGTTTCATGCACGAGTTAGCATGTCCGTGCATGCTTGTATTCATATACGCTTCAATAGCTTTGCCATAGCCTTGCACGACTGTGTATATTGATTGTCATCCAATATCATAATCTGTTGTCACGTGACCTAGCTCGCATGGCCTTGCTTGCCGGTGCATATCTCGATGAGAGTCTCGATGTGCCGCCGTGAGTGGCCTCGAGATGTGGGGTCGACGATGAGAACCGCGGCAAGTTGCTGACGAGGGCGAGGGTCGCGGATGGCACGGCGAGTCGATGGAGAGTGTCGCCGCGGACGATGATAATGATCGTCTGCTGTTAACAGTCACGGAGACAAACAGAGATATTCAGAGATATGCAAATAAAGATATTAGTTGAACAGAAAACATGGCTTAGCTGTTTAATGTTTCCTTTGCAAAGTCTGGATGTGCCGACGATGATGAAGGCTGAAGCGTCGACGACGGATGACGAGATGTCGGGTTGTGCCATCGCCGAGGATGGCTTATCAACGATGTGAGCGGCGACGACAGCCGCCGCGCGACGGCGAGGGACAGATTCCTGCCAATAATTATGTAGATACATAGAGATATCCGAACATATATTCTATAGAATATTTAATTGAAATAAAAACCATGACTTAGCTCGGTTTAATTGATGGCATTGAAATCTGATAAGAAAATCGCCCTGACATGCAAACGTGATGCGTATGTGCACATACACGCACACGCAAGGCAATTAGCATGTTGATTATCGCTTGCATGGGCTGTCCGTAGGTGCTCTTTCTTCCAGTGCACACGCGCATGGCGGCTACCACCACCTGTGGTGTCCGATCAAGGGTTGCACGGATGGACCCCATCACGTGGCTGCGGCTGCGTCGGTAGATTGGCCAAAGTTGAAGTTGAACGCAGGCACACGCTACCGATCGTGGAGGCCGCCGCTTGACGCGTGACGAATTAGCTTCTGGATGTCGGAGTCCCGTGACGGGAAGTGTATCGCCGCCGGATGCCAAAATCGTCGTGGACGATGTTTGACGAAGAAAAAAAATCCCCATCTCAAACATAATATTAGTTTAATCGTGAAAGACTCCTGCCTGGCGTGCCAACTGTTATATTATTTTGCTCCGGCAATATCTAGCAACGTGATCACGTAGACGGAATCAGATGGTAGCACACGAGACATCGAGATTTATACTGGTTCGGGGCGCGGTGCGTGCTAAACCCTACTCCAGTGGTGCGGCTGCTCTTGTATTCGTATGCTCAATTACAAGAGCTGTTACTCCTAGCTACGTACTAGATGAAAAAAGTGGAAGATGGATACCGAGCCCGATGTTCCTACCCTTCTTTATATAGACAGGAGAGAAAGGCTTACAGAGAGAACGATCGGGTTAACAGATTGTGTTCCTAGTTTGTTATACGATATGCGCAACAGATTGATCCTAGCTATCGTCCAGATACGCCCGTCCTGGTCAGGTTGGTCGATGGCGTCAGCCCTTGCGGGCCTCCTCCTTGACGGCTGCTGAGCCGATAGGCTGGTGATGGTCACATATACGGGCGGTGTAGATACCACTGGCCCATATATCTGACACCTAGGGTTGGCTTGTCACGTGCTCCGGCCGGCAGCGCATCTGCATTGAGCTCCCTAGGCCGTGGCCTTGCGCCGACAGCGCATCTACATCGAGCTCCCCATGATGAAGAAGACGGAAGATTTTTTTTGTGTCATTTTTCTAGACATTGGCACGTGGGCCTATCCCAAGGCTAAATCTGGTCATTTTAACCAAAAGGGGCTTGTGCGGATCTGGAGCTGGTGTGTACCCAAACGATCACTAGTAGATCTACGGTGGATCTCAGATCCATTAATAGAGCTGCTCCATGGTGAATCCCATATCGAGATTGATTTTTTCAATGGTGGAGATGTCCCATATGACCCTTACATACGATGCAAATATTTTTCATCGGCGACTTCAATTTCAACACGGTGAGTGACAATCCTTTTTTTTTACCTGTCGTCGGCGTCTTCGACACGGTGGACTCGGGGACGGTGAGTGACCTGTGGGCCGTGGCATCGTAACCGAAAATTCACACACAATCCAGAACAAATAAAATTCCAGAGCTGGGTCCTTCCGCGTTCACACGTTCATTGCTGTTCAGTCAATCACGGATTTGAGGACTTGAGGGGCCTAGGTAGGAGGGCCATTGGCAATGGAGGTGCTGCTGTCTGCAGTCGCTAGCGACATCGTCGGCCGGCTGGTCTCCTTCCTCATCAGCAAGTTCCAGGAGGCTGGCTCCACCGATGACGACGTTGTCAGGCTGCAGCGTGCGCTGCTACGAGCCCGCGTCGTCGTCGAGGAGGCCGAGGCGCGGCAGGTCAGCAACCGGGCCATGCTGCTGCAGCTCAACCAGCTGAGGGGAGAGATGTGCCGAGGCTCCTACGTGCTCGACGCCTTCATGAGGCGAGCCGTGGATCCCTGCAGAGGATCACATGCCATGGCGAGCCGGTCACCAGCCGGCTTGGCTGAGCGCCTGGAGAGTGGTCGCACTCGCACGGGCGGGCAGGTCATCTCCGCCGTGCTGAACACCCTTGAAGCTGCGTTGAGCGACATGAAGGAGGAGTTCGTCGTGCTCCTCGGTGCCTGCCCCCGCCTCAACCGCCAGCCGTACTGCGCCTACCTGTTCATGGAGAGGTGCATGTTTGGCCGGCAGATGGAGAAGGAGCAGATCATCGGATTTCTGCTACAGCCTGCGCAAGATTTCGATGTCCTCCCGATCATTGGCCCTCACGAGGTTGGGAAGCGGACGCTGGTCGAGCATGCCTGTCTCGATGACAGGGTGCGAGATCACTTCGCCAAGATTCATCATCTAACAAGTGACGATCTTGATCTACAGAGCCCTGACGACCATGGTCGTCATCAAGGCTTGATAGACTCCGCTTCCGCTGCAATATTCGTGATTGACCTCGCCGGCGGCGATGGGGGCGAGGAGGAGGAGAGATGGAGAAGGTTCCGGTCGTCCATGCGCCGCCGCGCGCACGGGGAGAGCAAGATCATAATCATCAGCAGGACGGAGAGGCACTCGGCGCTAGGCACAGTTCCACCGCTCAAGTTGCGGGCGCCGTGCCGGGAGGAGCTCTGGTACCTATTCAAAGCCCTCTCGTTCGGTGGCGCGGACCCGGAGGAGCGCCCGGAGCTGGTGCGCATCGCCATGGCGCTGTTCAACAACATCCCCGACCTCGCCCCGTTCGCGGCGGCGAACAAACTGGCCGCGGCTCTGCGTGCCGACCTGAGCGCGCGCTCCTGGCGCCGCGTGCTGAAGGTGTCCACCGGAGTGATGGAGCTGCAGCTCGGTGCCGCCGCTGGGGGGCCTCGTCGTCCGGAGGAGAAGATCGGGTATTACTACCCCAGCGTGCCGATGAAGGACGCGCCTAACGCTCCGTGTGTGTTCTACGGCAGGCGTAAGTCGACGGGCATGGCACGGAGCGAGCTCCCGAAGGTGACGATGATGGAGGTCTCCGAAGGCGTCATAGACCGCGGCGAGAAGCGGTTCGACGTGCTGGTGTGGCAGTCCCGCATCCCTCCGTATGCAAGCTACGTCGCAACGTGCGACATGGAGGGAGGTGCCGACGTGGCGCCGGTGGTCGGCACGAAACGACGTCTGAACAAGAGGAGGAGAGGTCAACTGGTTTATGGCTTCGGCAGCAACAGTAATGTACGAGGCTAGGGGACGGAGACCACGACGGACATGGAATGCAACGTATGGTTGCAGGGAACGGAGGAAGCCAGAAGGGCCATGTGCGAAATGGACGGTCTCGCTCTCGGACTCTCGCGTTCCTTCGTTTAAGAGCGACATGGACGGAGTCATGGAGCTCAACTGCGCTGGTTGTATACTTGTACCCGCCAAGAAAGTTCCTTGTTGGTAATAAGAAGAAAAGTCAACAAGAAGCGACCAGACAGAGCTTAACTGCAGGTTCTGGCCAGCTAATTGTTTGTTGCAAGCAATCGAACCCTCTACTTGTGAATGCTCGTGACTTGCGAATTGTGAGTGAGCGCATGTTCTCTATGCCCTCTGCTGCTGTGCATCATCTCTCGCAGTCAATATTCTTCATTTACTATTTTATTATGGAGTGGAGAACATCAGAAAGTGCGTGGTCTACTGTGCTATGTAGTATTACTGTGGTTTTAATTTTGTTATAGAAAAATATACAAACATCTAGCCATGAAATATTTTGAAAGTGCATTTATTTGTATTCTAGATATTAGTACATTTTTCTATAAATCTAATCAAAGCTAAAAAAACAATTAGAATAAAGTTAAAATGATTTATAATCCACTAATGCTTGGTTGAGGACGTTCGGACGGATGGACCACCTCCGCGCGCGTGTTATGCCCAATAAAAAAGGGGACGCGTGAATACAGCGGGTCCACACCCAGGGCGTGTCGGCTACTACTGCTCGGGTGCATGCGGCATGTGAGGGCCCGTGCATGCGTGTGACTACAGAGAGAGGACTGGCTGCCTGCTCCGTCCGCTGCTAGCTGGACCAACCGGCCAGGCCCCTGCCCACACGCACCTAGGGCCGCAAGCCTCCCTGCCGTGCCTGTCCTCTGCTGCCTAGCGCTTAGGCCTGCTACTCCTTTTTCTCTATGTGTTGTCTATGCCTGGCCTAGCTGTCCCTGCCGCATGCTGCCTGCCAAGTTGCTGCATTGGCTGACCAGCTTAGGCGCTTAGCCAGTTGCATGGCTGGCCAGGCCGTTTGCCTGTTTGTGAGAGGAGCGTGGACCCACATCTGTATGGAAACTGAGTGCTGGCCCAAATTTTTTCGTCACCCCATGGCATCTAGCTCTGTATGTTTTATGCGTTCTAGATGTATGTTTTTATCTGGATATTGTATATGTTGCAATGACTATATACATATGTTGCAAGTGTATCTTTTAAATGTTTCAGCTGTTTCAAATATATGTTGCTAGTGTTTTATCTAGATGTTGCATATATTGCAGTGGCCATACACGTATGTTGCAAGTGTATGTTTGAAATGTTTCAGCTGTTTCAAACGTATGTTTCAAGTGTTTTATCTAGATGTTGCATATGTTGCACTGACTATACACGTATGTTGCAAGTGTATGTTTCAAATATTTTAGCTTTTTAAACGTACGTTGCAAGTGTTTTATCTGAATGTTGTATATGTTGCAGTGGTCATACACATATATTGCAAGCGTATGTTTGTAAATGTTACATTTGTTTTAGACGTATGTTTCAGCATATGCTTTATATTGCAAGTATTGCATGACCAGGCGTGGGAAGTGGGCGCATACGGAGGTGGTCCCTCAGACGCAGCGGTCCCCCGTGCGTGTGGGAAGCGAAGCAGGCGCGGCGCCCCCCACTTGCATGCGCAGACGCATGTGTACCGCAGCAGCCGGTGGGGGAAGCATGTGTACCGCAGCAGCCGGTGGCGCCCCCACATGCATGCGCAGATGCATGTCCCCTGTGCGTGCGGGAAGCGTAGACAGGTGCGGCAGCAGCGTGCCTACGGGCGGGCAGGAGCTGCATGCATGCGCTATGGGGCCTGCCCAGGCAAAGTGGGAGGCGGAGGCTCGATGCACACATCCCTTCCATTGGTCGCATGCGTCTAGGGAAGTGCGTCGCCTATGCCGTTTCCTACCGCATGCAGAGGGAGTGTGTCAGCCGCGTGGGCGGGTTGTAGGCGCGGGCGTCCGGATAGACGCCGCGTCCAAACATCTGGATGTTAGTCTTTCCCTAATTCGCTAATGCTTGGTCTAACAATTAGCACTGAGCTTTGGACGTCAAATAGGCTAACAATGAGCCCATATAGCTCATTTTAACCCATTATCTTAAGATGGGCTAATGTTTAGCCATGGGATCCAAAATCCCAAACACCCTTTTAGAATGGAGGGGCCCTTTTTGGAAAAAAAAATCATTTGTTCTCCCCCAAGTATTGGGCAAGTTTGATTTTTTTCTCTCCATCAATCAGAAAATATCTCTCTGCACGGTTTTGGCTGATGTGGCGCCATGCCAGTCATGAAAGCGTTAAATTGGTCTTTCGTGATAGTTCATGGGTTAATTAGACTTTATCCAAAAAGTATAGAAATATTTTTTTCAAAAAATTATCCAAACATTATCCTAGAATAAATATGCATTTTAAATACTAAAAATTGACTTATAGAAATTTTGTTTTAACTTAGAAAGCATCAAACCAGTTTCATGTTTTTTTTCTAAAACCATGCTCTGTGTTTTTGTCCCTTGCAATTATTTGAACCTTATATGTCCCCTAAAATCTGAAACCAAGTCAAATATGAAACTGAGGATGCAGGCTAAGACAAATCCTCGTAGATTGTAGCATGCATCACCGCGCAACCTGCTATGTAAACTGCTTTCCTTAGCTTAACAACATGCATTGCTTATATATCGAGACATGCACAGGGGGTTTAAAATAAAATATTTATTTAAGTTCTGATTGCATATTAACAACATGTATCATGTGGTTTAACTTTGTACCATCACTATGTTCTCCAGGAGACATCATAACAATGACTTGTGCAGACTCATTGGACCATCAGTGGCAGCCGACATACGACTTCTTAGACTCTCAATCCAACGTCCGTGACTTGGCAAGCAACATCTAGATGGACGCAATGTCATCGTTGGAGGTTTGTGTACTTACCAAGAGCACATGATCGAGCAGAAAGACAGTTTTGACATGCTCAGGATGCCAAACTTCATGCGTTTTCTAAAATCATGCTCTATATTAAGGTGCCTAGCTCATAGAAAATAGAGCATGATTTTAGTAAAAATGTGAAACTAGTTTCATATTTTTCTGAGTTAAAACAATTTTTCTATAGATTTTTTAATAGTAAATCAAATTTTAGTATTTTTAAATGTACATTTACTAAAAAAACTTGGATATTTTTTGAAAAGTTATTTCTACAACTTCATTTGATGAATTATAGATTCCCTAAACTATTGTGAAAGTCGGATTTATCTTTCTTGTGGCTGACATGGCGCAATGTAGGACGCCTAAGGTGGCATCAGATCAGCCAAAATCGCTTCAAAACTGTTCAAAGAGATAAGTTGGATGGTTTCAAAAGTCAGATGTGTCTAAAAATCTAGTTTCCTGATTGATGTAGGTAAATTGGACTTGTAAATAATTGAGGGAGATGAGATGACCTTTTTCTCATAAGCCTAGCTAGTCGCGTGAACACATAGAGTCTGTTTGGTTAGGTGGCTAACTCCCAACTAGGCTCTAGGAAGCCACCCTTTATCTGTTTGGTTGCCTGTGAACAGACCGAAGCCAGGCCCTGCTAAGCCACTTTGAACTCTGTAGCCTCCAGAAGAACATGGAGGGTGGTCGTTTTTCCTGGCCAGGCCCTGGCCAGCCTTCTAGGAGTTCGCATCACCTCCCTCACCGCAGTGCCGCACCGCCCGCAGCGCCCCCATCCTCGGCAAGAAACGGGTGGCTGGAGCAGCCTCTTCTCGACCTGCCGGCACCTCTTCCTGACCCACTGCCGCCACGTCCTCTGCCGCTGTCGCCGTGGTAGGATGCGCTCTGGAAGTGCGCGGCCACGTAGAGCAGCGCAAGCGCTAGCGCGCCGAGCAACCTCGTGCCGTCTCTCATCGCCGTCGCCGATGCGGTGGCTACGCGGTGCGTCGAGGTGGAGATTTGGCATCTTTTTGCCTATTACGGAAGGACAGCCAAAGCGGTGGGCAGAGCCATCTGCGTGTCGTCTCTGTGGCTCGGCGGGTAGAGCCATGGGCGCGTCGTCTCCGTGGCTGTCGGGTGGTGGTGGTTGCCGTGGCCATGGGTGCCGTGGCCATGGGTGCCGTCGTTGTCCAGCGTGACGCATGCTATGGGCATCCTCACTGGCCTCACGTTTTCCGAGTGACGAGATCCTAACATAGAGGTATGTTAAGCCTTGGGATCAAAGGTTCCCCACCGAGAGACCCCCCCGACCGACCCCTCCAGGATCGCCTGGGGGCTCGGGGGCTATACCCATCGGGTACGCTCTCGCATACCCTCAGGCCAAGGAATCGGGTAGAGCCCAAGCACGCCCGTTTCCTCTGCCCAGGGCTCGGGGGCTCACTCGAGCCACAGGCTCTCGATCGACGGAAGCTTGGACCCGATCCTCAGCTCCTCCCTGGCCTTCGACGCCAGCCAAGGTCCAGGCACCAAAAGGTGTGCCCCGAGCCACCAAGGCTCGGGAGGCTCCCCAGCGCTGCCCCACAGGCACGGCTCTGTCAACTGCTCCTCCGACAGGGTCACGTACGGGCATGACGCAAGAAGAGAAACTCCTCCTCTAGCTTCAGGAACTCGGGGGCTTCTGGGCCTACGCGTTAGCCACTCAAGCCGGGCTCCTCCACCATCAGGAAGCCTCCAGAAGGTGCACCTGGTGGAGACCGATCCAAGCCGACATAGCCTGACACTTAGCGTGTCAGAATAGAGCAGCCGGACGACGCCTAGAGCTTCTTTGGCTCCACGACATTGCCACGGTCCATACGACGCCACTGCAAGACCCTCCTAGACTCCAGTGCATGTAGACTATAGGTTCAACTCCCCCAAACCGCCATGTACCCGACCTACCTCGAGATATAAGGGTAAGGTCGGATCCTAAAAGGGGGGAGGACGATTCCAGACAGATCATTCGAGTCCTCACTGTTCCGCTCACGCTCTGCATTGAGAGCAGAGCAACCTAGAGAGGGGCACCGAGGGC